CATTTGTAGTACTGCTGACCTTTTTTGCCGGAAGCCGTATTGTGCGTTTTCCAGGAAAGGTTGAACTTTGGGGTATATATTATCAAAGATAATTTTTTCGAAGACCTTCGAGGCGGAGCATAAGAGGCTAATTGGGCGGTAGCACTCGACTGACGCCTTGTTCTTTTCTTTAAAAATTGGGGCCACTTGACTTGTTTTCCAGTAGGTCGGGAAGAGCCGCTTGTTAATGAATGTGCGGAAGAGAAGATTTTGACAGAGTTTCAGAAAGATTTTTTAGGATTATATTACCTATACCATCAAAACCTGACGCTTTATTTGTTAAAAGATTTTTGAGAATGTATTGGATTTTGGTTTCTTCAATGTGTATTTGTGTACAGATTTCTTCTGTAGGAGAACAGTTTGTATTTCGTGCGAGAGGGTTAGGAATTGATTCCTTTTGATATACACTGATGAAAAATTCGTTAAAAAATGTAGCTTTTTGGGTGTCATCTCTTGTGGATTTTTCCTTGTAGAACATTTTTTGGGGATATTTCCTGGAACTACTTATTTTGTTCAAGTATTTTTGCAGGTCACTGAATCGTCTACTGCTTGTTACTGTTTCTTCGTAAATTGCTTGATCTTCAGTCAATGCTATTTGAAGATTTTTTTCCAGTTTTTTGTGTTTTAGGATAATGCTTAAATTAGGTTTGTTTTGCCGATCGATACGCCGTTTTAAGGTTTGTACTCTTTTTAGCATGTGAGACGTACTTGGCTTCACCCATGGGGGGAGAGTTGATCTGTGTGATGTAACCTTGGGTACATTGTTCTTTATTTTGTCCCATAACCATGCATACCACTGACGAAGGAGCTCATTTACATTACTGTAACAATACGGTATGAAAGGTTTGTCTTTTATTTCTTGATTTATTATCTTCCAATCGGCTCTGTTAAACGCCAGACTTTCATCTTTGTTTATTTCTTTGATACTGGCTTCCATGTTAATTGTTGCAGAGTAAGCATAATGATCTGAGCAAGAAACTTTGTCGATGCTGTATGCGTTTGTTGCTGAATGGTTCGTGTGCCAGTTGAGTATTACTCCAGGGTTGTTTGTTAATAAAACATCAAGCTGCTTTTTTTTGGAGTCGAATAATTGTTCATAGTCAAGTTCAATGAGCTTTTTTAACACTGCATTTTCATATTTGTCCTTTGAGTGCATCATTTTCCAATGAGTGTATTCAAAATTCATATCTCCCGTAATCGACACTGCGTTACAGTTGTGTTGTATTTGTAATTTTGTTAGGTTTTTGAACAAACTGATGAAGTTTTGTTGTTTCCATTGGTATTTACTGTTTTTCGGGGGATTATAAACACAGCAGAGTATTTGATGATGCCCAGTTTCACCTGTTAGTTTGGCCACTATGCATTCTTCATTTTCTATTTGAGCATCAATTTCTTCGTAATGCACATTTTCTTTTATCGCCATGAGTACGCCTCCGTGATTGGTTTTTAAAGTGGAGTTTTTTCTATCTTTGCGAATTATATTAAAACCAGCCAAATGCAGAGCTTTATCTGGTATTTCCTTTACCAGCCATGTCTCTGTGAGACATAGTATATCGTAGTCTGTTTGTAAAATCGCATTTGAAAGAGCTATTCTTCTGTTGATGTCTAAAATACTTCTGACATTTAGGCATAACATTTTTAAATACTTGGCAGTAGGTAGTCAATTGCTTTCTTCGACTTTTTTCCAATTTCCACTTTCTTCGTCATATTGGTAAAGGACAAGGTCCCTTAGCCTTAGGTTTTTAGCTGATACTCCAGTTTCTATCACCTTTACCATCAAAACCTGACGCTTTATTTGTTAAAAGATTTTTGAGAATGTATTGGATTTTGGTTTCTTCAATGTGTATTTGTGTACAGATTTCTTCTGTAGGAGAACAGTTTGTATTTCGTGCGAGAGGGTTAGGAATTGATTCCTTTTGATATACACTGATGAAAAATTCGTTAAAAAATGTAGCTTTTTGGGTGTCATCTCTTGTGGATTTTTCCTTGTAGAACATTTTTTGGGGATATTTCCTGGAACTACTTATTTTTTTTGTTCAAGTATTTTTGCAGGTCACTGAATCGTCTACTGCTTGTTACTGTTTCTTCGTAAATTGCTCGATCTTCAGTCAATGCTATTTGAAGATTTTTTTCCAGTTTTTTGTGTTTTAGGATAATGCTTAAATTAGGTTTGTTTTGCCGATCGATACGCCGTTTTAAGGTTTGTACTCTTTTTAGCTTGTGAGACGTACTTGGCTTCACCCATGGGGGGAGAGTTGATCTGTGTGATGTAACCTTGGGTACATTGTTCTTTATTTTGTCCCATAACCATGCATACCACTGACGAAGGAGCTCATTTACATTACTGTAACAATACGGTATGAAAGGTTTGTCTTTTATTTCTTGATTTATTATCTTCCAATCGGCTCTGTTAAACGCCAGACTTTCATCTTTGTTTATTTCTTTGATACTGGCTTCCATGTTAATTGTTGCAGAGTAAGCATAATGATCTGAGCAAGAAACTTTGTCGATGCTGTATGCGTTTGTTGCTGAATGGTCCGTGTGCCAGTTCAGTATTACTCCAGGGTTGTTTGTTAATAAAACATCAAGCTGCTTTTTTTTGGAGTCGAATAATTGTTCATAGTCAAGTTCAATGAGCTTTTTTAACACTGCATTTTCATATTTGTCCTTTGAGTGCATCCTTTTCCAATGAGTGTATTAAAAATTTATATCTCCCGTAATCGACACTGCGTTACAGTTGTGTTGTATTTGTAATTTTGTTAGGTTTTTGAACAAACTGATGAACTTTTGTTGTTTCCATTGGTATTTACTGTTTTTCGGGGAATTATAAACACAGCAGAGTATTTGATGATGCCCAGTTTCACCTGTTAGTTTGGCCACTATGCATTCTTCATTTTCTATTTGAGCATCAATTTCTTCGTAATGCACATTTTCTTTTATCGCCATGAGTACGCCTCCGTGATTGGTTTTTAAGTGGAGTTTTTTCTATCTTTGCGAATTATATTAAAACCAGCCAAATGCAGAGCTTTATCTGGTATTTCCTTTACCAGCCATGTCTCTGTGAGACATAGTATATCGTAGTCTGTTTGTAAAATGGCATTTGAAAGAGCTATTCTTCTGTTGATGTCTAAAATACTTCTGACATTTAGGCATAACATTTTTAAATACTTGGCAGTAGGTAGTCAATTGCTTTCTTCGACTTTTTTCCAATTTCCACTTTCTTCGTCATATTGGTAAAGGACAAGGTCCCTTAGCCTTAGGTTTTTAGCTGATACTCCAGTTTCTATCATTGTTCGTCTTTTCATAAGAAGTTTGTTCTCAATCAGAAGTTCACTTGGGCTGAGCTCTTTTGACACAAAGACAGTTTTGTCGTAGTTTTTCAATTTTGCCAAGGACATTAGTATCAGTCGTTTTTGCCATTCATTTGAAACATTTACAACTATTGTGCGTGGCCTTTTTCCTTCTTCGTATTTTCCTAAACGTTTTAAATCTGTGATTTTTGCTTCAACTGTTAAGAACGCAAACAGTTTGTTCACCTCTTCCAAGTCGTGTTCGTGTCTATCTCTTGAACTTTTTGAGCCCAGTTCAAGCAGTCCTCTTATCCGGATTCCGTTATAGCTTGATTCTGGTTTCTTTAAGGCAGGTTGCTTTGGCTCATTTCTGTTTTGTGGTTTTTTGCTTGTTTCATCTATCTTTTGCTTAAGTGAATCTATCTCTTGTTTAAAAGTAGAGAATTGTTCGGCGATTTCATTTAGTTTTGTTTCAGCAATGGATGGACGGGTTTGCATCAAATCGTTGATCATCGACTCTTTCCTATTGTTTCCAACACAACAGTTACAGAGCAGGAGGACGTTCTGGCTGATCTCCGAAATTCCCAGGATGGCAGTTTCAGATATTCCAGTGCATGTTTTTGTCATGTGCATAACATCGCCACAGGCAATGCAATTAAAGATTTGACTTTTGTTTGTGATCGGCTTTTTGCATGTTTTACAAGATTTCTCAGATGCTTGCGATACGCTAGCATTTCTGCGTCTTTCTTCTGAGCCCATATTGCTCAAAAAAAAATCTTCTCAGAACTGACACTCCAAGGTATAAAACCTCAGGAGAAAACCAGACTAGAGAAGACTTATTGAGTTTTTTGATTCCCTTGGACTGATACTCCAAGGTATAAAAACCTCAGGAGAGAATAGTCTCAAGAAAATCAGACTCACCAGAATTAGTGCGATGAGGATTGGGCTGCTTGTTTTTTCTTTGCTGCTGCTCTCTTTGATTTGGTGGGCCGTACTCTGGATTTTGATCTTTGCTGAAGTACTAGTGAACGAAGGTTGTGACGTTTCGAAAAAACTTTGTTGAGCAACTTCAGCTCAAGAGACGGAGGGGGGTGTAGTTTAGAGAGGGCAACAACTGTATCAATGTCGTTTTGTTTTTATTTAGGAAGAAGTCGTTTTATCGCGTCGATGATAAGAGGTTTCGTCTTCCGTAACTTTTCAAAAATGTGAGGGGTACCGTCTCGACGAATGTATATGATCGCAGCTATTTGATGCTGAAAATTCGTGATGATTTCAGTTAACTGCTCCGGGGAACACTTCGTATTAAAGTTTTTGGGATGTTTTGTGATACTATTGTTTATCACGTCGTGCCAGAGAATGATTTCTCTGGATTTTAGGGAACCGTTTCTAAGTAACCACTGCAATTTCTTGAGTTTACTCACGTTGTTTGGGTTGAGGCTTAGTCCCGATTTTGCAAAAGTGAATCTTCGATACTTTACCCTTAGATCGTAGGGTAGGTAGTCAAGGGTCCTTCTGAGTGAGCTTGCTCCAACTACAATCATGTGATCCACCAACCTGTGTCCACCCACTAGTGTCCACGAGCGGTAGCAGAGGTAAATGAATCCAGTCAAAGTAATTTGAAGTAAATGCAGGGGACCACCACGGCTGTCCCAGTATATCAACAATTTATCTATTTAATAAGTTTATCACAACAATTAGGCTAATTTTAGTGTTAGCTCCGTGCCTCTAAAGTCATCGCAAGTGTTGATTCCTGGCTTCTCCTTCCTGGTATGCAGAACTTCGTAGAGCTTCTATGAAAAATTCTGTCAATTAATTCCGGAGTACCTAATGTATGAGAACATAAGGTACAGAATTACGGTGAATAAGACCCACATGAACAAACATGAAAAACGCTCAGAAAGATAAGATAGTCCGTTGGGCAAAAAATGTGATAGTTTAGTAAAAGCTTAAGAGGTCATTTTTGCCACAGCGGGTGCAAGAAGTTCTATCCCTGGAATCCAAACACACGGTTCGGAATAAGTTCAACGATATACGCTTTTTGACAGGAGAGAAATAAGTGAAGCGGTAGCTCATGCCTACGCGAAGCAACTGAAACGGACAGTATCTGTTTGGAGAGCAAAAAACTCAAAAACATTGCTCTCAACCCTTCGAAGCGCTCTCTTAGCACAATCCTTTGGTGTGCTCCTCCACTGTGTCCGGTTTCATCTCTCCCTGGGAATTCAAAAGACCACTTGAGCAAAACATAGGTCAAGTTTTTGATGAGAATGAGGGAGCGATCATCAAAACAAACTCACAAGAAGCAAAAGAAACTATTGAGAATGTAGAATAGGACTACGATGAGTGCATAATTTCCTTATATATGATAAGTATCCTCACTAAGGTTTCATTCATAGAAACTATTTACATAGCACTCATAAAATTTTGCGAGTAAGGAAAATCTCCGGACCTTGCATGCAATACATTGAAGAGATTGCTAATTTTAGAAGTAGGCCAAGTTCATTTTATGTGCAATGATTTGTGGTACACGGAGCCTGCCTGATGAATTGGATACGGGAGTCTCTTTTGCAGTCATTAGGCAGCATTTCGGATTTGCAAAGCAATGGAAAATCTCTGCGTAAACAAAAACGAGGAAGCGCGAGGGTCGAAAGAAGTCGCCACCTTCTTTCAATATCACGAAATAAGATCTCCACGAAACCTTTTAACATCGACTCTACATAACATAGGAGGTCCCAGAACTGAAGGGATGTAAAATGATAAAAGCGATTCATCGACAAATGAAAAGTTCACTTTTTAAAAGCTCTTGAAAATTCAATTCAACAAAGAAATAGAAATAGCAACGAACAGTTGATGTGGTGGATCGGCGAATCAGTTCGTTGACGAGTAGTGGGTCCGGATCGCTGTTGAACGTCTCGATAATAGCAGCTATATTTCCCATCTGCGCAGCCACTCCCAAACGTTTTCTAAGATACTCTGTTGCTCTCTTCTCTTCAGTGGCCAGATATGTCCGTTTACCCAAGTCATTTACGAAGCCGAGAGTGCTAGGACAATTTGCTTAACATGGAATGTCTCGCAAATGTTCCCACACATCGAGAGCACGAAATGCTATGCAAACCTGACGAATCCACTTGTTTTCAGCAAACGCAAGTATGCTCAACACAAATGGGAGCTCCTAATCGAAGACTGGCGGAAACGCGAAGCTGTGTATTAGTCATTTTCAAGCCAACAGACTGACCGGGAAGGGCATTCAACCATGCGGTAGCAGTAATGCCTTCGTAGAGAACAATATCTTCTGTCCATTCCTACCAGGGGTGCCTCAGAGTTGTGACGATAGAACCTTGAAGACCGATGGAATGAAAGCGGCCGAAAAGACTTGTTCGCTCAAGCTAGAGCCCATGGGTATAAGAATAGCCATGAATAAAGAACTGCAACCAGTGGCAGAAGGCAGGAAGCGCGAGTCGGAGAGCAGATAATAAACCAAGGTCACCCATGGAGCTGAGAAGCAAAGACAGAGGCTGACGTTGAGGCACTGGGACGTTTACAAAATTGACATGATACCAGTTCCAACAACAATCACATCTAATCCAATTTGAAAGTCTTTGAGATTTTAAGCATTTGCTTGCACGTTCCTCGTTGTTTTCCTCATCTTAAACTTTTGACAAAAAGGCAAAGAAGGAAAACTGACTACACTCAAGGGAACCGAATTAACCCATGATAAAAGGGTAGATGGAATTTTATAGATGAAAAAAAAAAACTAAATAATGGAAGCCCAGGAACCTACTCGACAGACCTGTCTGTAAAATCTTTATAAGGGCGCTCGACAAATATCAATTATATCACATTTATTCTATATATCATTTAATTGAGTGAGATGTTTCCAGGCATGTTTAGGAAGTTTTTATATGACATATTTAAGAATGTTACGCTATCTCAACATGTTTCAGCTGCAGCCTGTGTTTACATACTTATGCTGTGCAAATAGATTGAAAAGCTAATGGTAGCCTGAGGGTTTTCATCAAGCATCAGGTTGTTTGCCTAATTGCTTAGTTTACATTTAAGCATGCATGTTTGAACTAAATGATGCTTTGAAATGTTTTATTTCTATTTTTATATATCAATTTTAATCCGGGTTATTTGAGCATTTCCTTTGATGCCTGATAATACTCTTTGGATAATTTACTCCGTTTTGGGCTATACTTTCTATTAATGCTACTCTTGATTTTGGGCTTCAGTTTTTTTTTGAAAGCTGAAGCCCCATCTTGAATTTGTTCAGTTTACTGCTGCATGGTTTCAGTTGGTTGTCTGGCTTCTGAAAAGCCTTCATCCTGCTCTGTGGATGTTATGGAGGCTATAGAGACATGGCATAATTAAAAGCATTAACCGTAAAGTGAACAAGCTCAAGAAAATTAAATGAACCGGCTACGAGTGCCTACGATTAGCGAGTTTTCGGGACAAGTTAAATTCGATAGAGAAATTTTGGCAGAAAAATAATTGATTTTACCAGTTACAGGTATGTTTACTTGAAAGGATGGGTCCACGAAAGGTGATGTGCTGTTAGAGGTCGTCAATGGTAGACTTCTGTTTAAAGCGTTTAAAATTAATGTTATATATGCAATTTATTATTTTCAATTTTTTAATTGTTTGATTTTCAGTATCAAAGTTTGGGACATATAGTTGTATTTTTGTTTCCGCCTCAAGTTATTTGTTAAACTTTCTTTTGATCATAAAATAATTTTTATTCAAAATCATCTATTTGATTAAATATATTTCAAATGTTTGTCGTGCTTATAGTTTAAGGCTTGCAATAAGCATTTAGAATGCAGTCAATTTTGTATTGGGACGCTAGTCTATCTATTATGTTCATCACAACAATAAACTGTTTTTGTTCCGACATTTCGAAAAATTGGGAGGAACTTTGTGCTCGGGTGTATTTTTTTTGTTCCAAACAGTAAAAATAGGCAGGAACTTTGTATTGGGGAGTGTTTTAGTTTTTTCCCTCGCAAATTTTCCCTCCCTTGCAGTAAGATAAAGTTTCCCGGTGTCGAGAAAAACCAGTATTAAATTCTTGAAGTCTAATTTCGAGCGAATAAGGTGAGCAATCAGGCTTATTTTGTTTTTCAAAAATGTTTAACGCTAATAATCATCGTAGTGCGTAATATATCATAATAAAGCGCTCTCCGCCCTGTTTCGGTTAATGTTAAAATTTGAAAACTTTGTCCCAATGTCGAGAAAAAACGGTTGGAAATTGAGTTTTAGTCTAATTTCGAGTGAGTAACACAAGCAAGCAGGCTGATTGTAGAAGAATAATCATTGTCATTTTAGGAAACAAACTCTTCAAAAACAACTAAAAATTCTCCAAAAAAAAATTGAAAAAAGGTTTGAATTTAGATTTTTTATTCACGATTTTCGTTTTTCTTGTCATTTTTCTACAAAACTGTTTTCCAATTGGCTTATTTTTATATGACTGTCGAATATGCCCAAGTTCTATTTTTTTCAGATCTTTTTATCACATCGCGGCGAAAAAAAATGACCTAATTTGAAAACACTTATTTTTGTATATTCTTAAGAATATAATGGGAACATTTCTTTGTGTTACTTGCTTAGTAACCGACTATCCTTGGTAATATTTCAGAAAGAGCCAACGGTTAAACTGATGGAAAGATCTCATGGAAAACCTTTATTTTGTTTTGTTCACTGAATCAACTCTTAAAGCTCATATTATATTTTCAAATGTCATTGAACAACTCAAATAAAATAATTAGAGATACATTTGTTCTTATTAAACTACCTTCATTTGACTCTGAATATTTTTTAAAATTCCGCTGTTTAAGCCTTTTTCGCTGTTTATAATATATTGGTTTGACTAAGGTATGATCTGGTAACCTAATAAGACCAATATTTCAGATCAATGACAGAATTCAAAGATGTCGTAAGCAACTTAATTGAGTCCCAAAATGGCCTTTTTGTTTCAATATTAGACGAAGGTCAGATTGATTCAACACCTTTCATTTGCAGTATTTGTAGTCTAGTTTCAAAATTGAAGCAGCCCATGAATTTTTGCTGCATCGCGCATCCAGCGTCGTATTATCAATCGAAACTGACAAAACTTGGCGTGCAACTAGATTTGATGAATTTCATTGATGTACTGAGCTGTTACGATTATTTTGAAGATGACGTGTTTGCAAAAGTACTGCAAGGAACGAAAATCGACGGAGTTTTCTTCTGTGACAACATCATGAATCTGATGACATTGTCTTTCAATAGCAAGTAATCTTAAAATACGCTCGAAATTAGTAAACGATGCAAGAGCTACCAGTGTTCAATTAAGCAAAAATATGCTTTTAATGAGAAAAGTGTGTGCACTTAGATGTTCAGCTTTTTTGACATTTTTTCATGACTTGTTTTAATCATTCTAGTCTTTTGATTTTGTTGTAGCTACATCGATCTCTGTTTTGAAATAGAGAGATCGTTTATGTTTGAGAGATCAAGGGAGAGAGAGTTACGGAAATATTGTTCGTGTCTGATCATGTTGTTTTTGTCTCGTTCAATCTATCACTGCAGTTCCCCACGGTCTCTAGCACAAAACCGGCGTAGAACGGGAACCACCTTTTCCAGTGATGTCGTCTTTGGGCTGGTGTCGGCATCTTCCCTATAGCACACTAAAGAGGGAGGTTTTGATGTGGTTATGAATCCCGTTATAGGGGCCAAGTTATTCGCGCGGAGAACCGAGTAAAACTCCATACCCGGTTCAAGCTGGCAGTTTTTATTAATGGGTAGAACTGAGAATAACTCACGTTATGTGGGGTCACGTGAAAAGCTGCAGATGTTTGGCAGCTTCTTCTGGATTCTCCCATAAGCTTTCGATGGTCAGCGAGGTTTGGTATGTCGGCAGTTATATAGATTTTCGGTCGTGTGTGGTCCTATATAGCAACTTGGGCAGACGTTGGGTATAATCTTGCTTAGCCTGTGGTGGTAGCTGACGATGAGTTGAATATCCGGATGGCAATTGTGACTGTGTAGATCGAGTTTTCCGGTCAAATTTGCTTTCATTTGGTATAAAACTCGAGGTATTCTACCGAGTAGCTTGGAATTTTCGTTAATAAACTTTTGTTCTTCTGTTATGTGTAATTTTTTTGATCCCGTTAACGTATTCAAGCTTTGAGATATTATCCCGGTTTGCGATAAGTCAATTTTCAATGTCAGGTTTGCACTTACGTTCGAGAGTCGAGTCGCTCTGATGTGCCGATTGAAAACCTTTGTTGTGAAGTGTGGTTGTCACATCTATGCTGCTGGTAGCTCCCGAGAAGAAACGTTACGAAGCATTTCTTTAGTTTCTAACCGGTAGAATTTTTGACACTTATGACAATCTTTTACAAGCATCTCGTTTTTGTTCTTAGAGCGTTGTTTTGCTTTATTTGTATTTGTTGCCAGTTGGTGTAACTAAGTTTAGGGTCCAAATTGGAGCTGCGTAGTTCAGGACACTCCGTCTATTTGCCTTGTATGTGACGATGAGTGGTTTTTTTGCAGCAACTTCAAGTAATGCCAGCAAATTTTAAAATACATTTTTTCTTTTTTTTGCAGACAAATTTTTGTTTGTCACATATTATTTGTTTATGGAATTATGGAATTAAATTCATTGCTCCAAGTTGAGAATATTGATGTTGTGGACTTGATAGATTTCTGCTTGTTAACCAGGTGCTGAGGCTGTTAAGGTATGGGTTGTTACTGTCTGCTAAGTCGTTAATATTTGGCCCTGGTGTTGTGAGGGTTATATTTTCTGCCTAAGTAGTCACTTTGATGTTATCATTCTCGGTAGAGGCATTTTTAAATAAGACCGGGTATAGCACAGCACCTTGTGGGACACCTTGTATCATCTTCCTGCGCTAGGATTTAGTGTCTCTTAATTCTAAATAAGTATGTCTACCTCTTAGTTAGGCAAGAATCAATATTTTGGTTTATAAGAAAGAATCGAGATGGCGATGTCGTTGAGCAGATGGTGGTGGTCAACATCATCACAGACTGCCGTTTAGTCTAGGACGACCATTAGTGTTCGTTGAAAAGGTTTGGCCTGGTTCAGACCAGCTTTTTTGTAGAATGAGATACAGTTAAGGGCAGTAGTTGTCGAGCTTTCTTTTCTATACCCATGTTTGTGTTCCTGAAAGTTTACATTTAAGTTAAGTTCGGGTATAAGTAGACGCTCGATGAGTTTTGTCACAGGAGAGCAATGAAATCGGTCGGTTTTTCTTATCTTGTTCGGGATGTTAACCGGGTTTAGCCAGTGGTAGTACGCTTCCCACTTTCCAGTTTTCAGGCATGGTGCATTGCTCATTGAGATGCTTATCAGCTCACTGAGGTATATAATAACTTGCTTTCAAATGAAATGAAAGTGAGACAGAGCGATGTTATTAAGTCCAACCGCTTTGCTTATCTTACTGAATTTTATTGCATCTACTACCATTTAAACTGAAATTTTTTACTTCTGTAGATTTAATTGTTTGATCTTACGAATACCTGCCCTTTTTTCCTTTTTGTTCTTGTTTGGGTGTAGAGTGAACTGTTTGGTGTGCAGGGAACTGTTGATTTTTGTGTTTTGGATGAGTTCGTTGTCAAAGATAATATGCGTGTTTCTTGGAGTTTTGGCATTTGTTTTTGATGAAACTTCAACCCTGGACCAGAGCTTACGTGTTGCCCATTGACGATCAGCATTGCCAAGAATTTCATTCCATTTTACTGCATTTTTGAGAAATTTGTCTGGATGCCGCGCCGCGAATTTTTTTCCGGAAAGTTTTCTCGCCTTTTTTTTTAGTTGATTTGGGTAGAGCTAATTTTCGAAACGTTTTTGCTTTCTCCTTACAAAAACTTTTCCAGTCCTCTTTTTTGAAGTTGATGTATGTTCTTACTTGCCTTAATGATTTGAGTTTCACAGGTTTTTTTAGGGTTATGGCTGAATTGTCTGATCCCAGCATGCAGTCGCAGTACCAATTGGTGGACATGGTCGAGTTTGATGTTGTTAGGCGGTTGTTAAGTGAACTTGCGGTGTTTGTTTTTCTTGTTCGTCGATCAAAATGTCGTTCGGAGATTCACAAAGCGCTATGTGCATTGAAATCGCCCCATATAAATGTTCTGTGTTTGTTAGGTGCTGGTTTGACGCAGTAATACCGGGACTACAGCTTGATTGAGGTGGGATGTAGATGATAAAAAAGTGTTTTAACAATTTTTTTCATCTATATCCCACACAAGTGTTGCAACAAGTTGATGACATGTTTGATTGCTTGTTTTTCCATATGGAGGTCGTTGTGTGATACTTTAAGTGTCTGATAGTTTATGTAGTCTTTAATAATAACTCCTATCCGCCTCCTTTAACTTGTAGTATCCTAAGTCGGTGTTCATGTTTTGGTGGTGTGGGTTTTTAGTTGGTGGTGTCGAAGGGGTTGATTTTACAGTAGTCTTAATTCTCATAGTAAAACTGCTTGACCATTGTTTGATCCGAAGTGGCACCAGAAACTGTTTGTTAGGGACAAATTTATTGTGACAGATACTGCAGTTATGTGGACCAGGGCTTAGGTCGATTCCGCTGCGGAATAATTGGGTGAGAACTAGACGGCCGGCCAGAACCAAGTACATGAGCAGGTAGACTGGTTTTGGCTGCTCATTGTTCGAAAATACATGTCTTGTTTCTTTTTTTGTTCTCTCGACTCTCCTGTTTTTTCTTCGTCTTCCCCTTTTTCTCTTTCATTTCTTTCTCTCTCTCTCTCGCAACACTCTCTCCTTTTCTCACTTTGGCTCTCGACACGAGACCGATGTAGAATGATTGGAAGTTGGGCACCACCCTGTTAGGCGATGTGTGTTCTAGCCGCGTAGAGGCATCCATTCCCTGGACTTTGTCCTTTGATTGACTTACATAACGAACGCTGGTATGGCCCTATCCAGCTTGTGAACGGAACGTAACTACACGGGAGGGCCCCTTTAACATTTTAGTTTTTTGAAAACAAGTTAATGAAAAAAGCAAAGGTGAAACATTTGACAAATTTAAATAAATCAATCCTTAAACTTTGTTTTTCGTTAATATGCGTAATGTAACAAGAGACTCAAGAGGAATAGAGGCGAATGAATGTCGACGAGCACTGTCTTTGTTTGGGAAGTAATGAATCAAGTTTGCCAAAACCACGTAGAAGTTGCTCAGACGTTCAATTGATGAATTAGTTTTTGAACGCTTAGAACGATAAAATCATGTCGCTTGATACATCTAGACAAAAACCCGGGATTCAGATTTGCGAGATTCTAAGGAAGTTATTAGGCAGCACTTTTACCCATTTTCAGACGGAGGACTTTTAGTTACTTAATCTAACTACCGACTGTGCCTCGGATAAAAATACGCTACTGATTACACAATCCTAACTCTTCGCAAGGATTTGATGCCATTTTTCTAATTGATAAAGAAAACGCAGTTAACTTTCGCAATCGAAATGTAGTAAGAAAAAATATTATCGAAAAGGTTTGTGTATCAATAATTACGGCTATCAAAAAAACTGCAAATAATTTTGCCAATAGGAAATTGTTGCTTTCCAAATAATTTTAAAAATAATTCAAACCACAAACGTTCGTTGAGTACAGAATTGCTGTTCTGCATTTAATTCGAAACTGTCACGACAACTAGCTAATTCGAAAATCGGTACGCTAATGATTGGAACGCAGTACCTGTGATATATTTAAATGCGGGCTTCTTTATCTCGCCATCATCAAGTTTTTTCAACGTAATTTTTTTGCATATTTAACAAACGAATTTTTTCACCTTTAAGCTATATCGTATATTGCAATGGTTAAGATTCATTTTTTTCAATGGTTAAAATTCATTTTTTTCTTGAAAATTTGGAGTTCCCAACTCTGTAGTGGAGGCTCTACAAGTATTCTCAGGTTATCAGGGGTTGCGAATTGTGGCTTCAAATATGACTGCTCAAATCTTATTAGTTATCGAGATATGACGTTTTTTGTGATTTTTTTCAAATTTTTCCTGAAAACTTTTCCTAACCCTTTACTTTGAAATTCCTAACCCTTTACTTGGGAGCTTCCAAAGTATTCGCAGACGCTGCGAACCTTGCATTCAAATACGACTGCTCAAGTTTTTTCGAGATATGAAGTTTATTATACGGTTTTTGAAGTTTTGGTTTTCGAAAATTTAAATTTGAAAAATTTCTCAATTTGAAAGTCCTAACCCTATAGTTGGGTTTTGTGACAGTACTCCATGAGTTGCAAATCTTACGTTCAAATGCGACTGCTCTTTGTTTTACGTTTCCGAAATACGTTTTGTTTACGTTTTCTGAATTAAAAAAACTTGAATAAAAAATTTTTCAAAATTTGAAACTACCAACTCTGTAATTGGGTGCTGTCAAGGTACACTCAAAGGATGCATATCTTATTTTTATTTTATGCGGTTTTTCTGAGTTGTTGAAAATTCGTAGCACCTGAGGTGCGTTACGCGCTAGTTAAAATTGAAAGATCTGCAAAAACTTTAAGAATACTCAGATAACTTTAAGAACTAAACAATGAACCTCATTAGAACTGAAATCAGCTTTGCACTCCAACAATCAACAAGAGTGTTTCATGCTCAAGGGGTTGATAGTCACCAAAATGACTGCCTGAAGTGATGATTCATTCAGTGCTAAATTACTGTGAGAGTAGCTAAGATGATATGCAAAATTGATGACCATAAATTAAAAACCGATAAATTTGATTTTAAGTCTAAAAGGCGCCATGACTTGATATAATCAATCTTTTTTTTCGGATAATTTTACATAAAGATGTTATGGCCTTATTCTGTTTGTGCCCTGACCGTAACTTCCTTAAATTCCTTTTTTGTAACCAGATCTACTCAGTTATCTCAATGTTAGCTTTATATCCGACAAAGGCTTGCGATTTACGGTGTTAATTTTTTTTAGCAATTAGGATATGGTTTTCGATTTTATTGCTCGTTTTTTTTCTTTCTCAGACCAAGTTAACTCAATTTACAGCGAATGTTTTCCAAACCAAAAGTGAAAACGGCGCCAGAACAAACAAAATGTGAATGGTATGTAGATTTCAACTATTTCTCAGTGAAAAAAAATTATCAAAAAGTGCTTCCCTCATAAACGGTTCTTGAAAACGTGTTATGCCTAGCAGCGTAGAGGATACATTATTTCATGTTGAATGTGTTTCAGTAAGCTCCGGAAGTTCATAGTGCAAATAAGTGCTATGTCCGATTTAGTTGTAGTGGGATGCTCACGTGATCCTATTTTCCCCGATTTTGGGAAATTCTTAGAGTTTTTGAAATCGAGAAGTGACTCGGTCATTGAACTTTTCACGATGAGCGGAAGCACGGCTGCAGTTGGCGTCGATGGTAAAATGAGCATCCGTTCGTGTACAGTTTCAGATGACGAAGTTAAAGCGCAGCCAGTTGAGAAGGAACTGCTTTATAAAGTTGTCGATAGAACTGTTCTAGTTTATCCGCTGGGTTTTGTTTGAGTGACCAGTAAATTATAATTAAAGGATGAAAGAACTAAGAATTAACGTTTATATGGTCTGTTTTCTAATCAAGAGACACCACATCATCTCAACAATGGAAAAGTATTCATCTGCCAATTTGAGGTCTATGAGGTAGTTTGTTCTCACACTTAAATTGCAGTCCTATTAATCACGCTCAAATTCGATTGGATTTTTACATTTACATTAAACTCAGTAGCTAAACATAGCTTTTAACAAATTTCTCAGAGAATTTATTATATTTCTGATAAAATTCTGGCCTGCAAATTTAAACTAAATCGAAATACTTCTTTGAATGTGTTTTTTCAGTTTGTGTTCGACATTGTGTTTATTTTTCTCTGATTGTTGTAAATTGTTGTTAAATGAAAAAGTGCTTTCAATCAAGCTCTTGAAATAAGGCAAAAATAAAATTTTCCGAAAAAGTGCAATTATTTTGCATTGCTTTTTGTCAGGTCAAATGCAGTTTTGAAAATTCGATTGCAATTTTCGAGCCATATTACTGTCTCAAGGTCAAAATTATTTCAAAAATTTAAGGCGTTTCCGATGAATTTGTTAAAAGCTATAGAAGGCCCATTGCGATCTCCAATTCAGTTTTTAACAAGATAATTGGACAACGTCTTAAATGTCTGAAATATAGCTTTTAACGAGTTTATCGGACAACGTATTAAATTTCGGACAACGTATTAGAAATAACTATGACCTTGTGAAATAGCGTCAAAACTGCAATCGAAAGTGCATTTGAACTGTCGGAAGAGCAAGGTAAAATTATTTCACCTTTTCGTAGCTTTCCATTTTTGCCTCATTTCAAGAGCACGATAAAAAAATTTTCGTTCATCAATTTGTTATGTAATTTTTCCGAGCAAAAAAACGCCGACAAAAAGGCAAACACGAAACTCCAAAGAAGTATTTGGATTTAGTTCAAATTTGAAGGCCATAATTGCTTCAGAAATTTAATACTTTGTCCAATAAATTTGCTAAAAGCTATTTTAGAGTTGCAAAAAAATTGGAACAGACAGTTAATTTAAAAGAGCGAATGACTTATTTCAGACGTTTTTTGCATGCAAAAGCTAACTTTCCAGACGAAAAGTTTGTCTCAACGTAAAAACTCTAATTTGCATGCAAAAATGGCAGATTGTTCTCTTCTAATACTTCATAATTATTACCCTTGCGATAAGCAAGGGTATTGCAACCGGGTACTTAAGTTTTTTATACGAAAACAACTTTGTCCACAGAACTCGTCTGGACTAACCTCTACATTGTTTAATAATGTATTCAAAATTCTTAGCGTTCCTTGCCAAGTTAGCCCGGAGGTAACGAATATGCCTGGGATGGCAAAGGTCCTGGGTTCGAGTCTGACCAGGACCTGTTTTTTTTTCAAACATTTTTGCAAAATGTTAGTTCTTCAAAAAAAATTGTCGACGAATTGTTTGTCTGCCTATCTGTTGTCCGCTTGCTTGTCACATCTTGAAATTATTTTTTTTTCTACGCGCATTTTTAAATGTTGTTTTTTTAGTGTTTGATTTACTCCTACATTTTGTAATTTTACTTACCTTGACTTCAGATTTCCTTCTTAGTTTTTTGTTGTTTCGCTAACAAAATTCCTCGGACAAAATTATTTCGGCCAATTTTTTTCATCGCCTTAATGACCTACTTTCGGGGCGTTTCAAGATCAAATTAGTTTAGCACTCCCCTCCGCACTTTTCAAGTTGGTTGTATGTGTACCAATTTGTTTGTTGAATTTTCGGTTTGGAAAATTTTTCACTTTTTGCAAAATGTTAGTTTTTTTTCAGAAACTTCTCCTGATTTTCAAAAAAGTAGTATCAATTGAAATACTGCTTATTCTTTTGTGTGCTTGCATAATCCCCTAGTGTTTTTTTTACTTGACATCTCTGTCTACAGCCTTCCAAAAAGTGTTGGTAATGTTTGACTCATTTCTTAAACATTTTTTTTTTCGTTTTCTCGAAAAGTACCTCTCTCAAATATGGGTTTTTGGTCTCAATCGGTAGAACTGTTTTGAATAGCCACTCAGCGGAAGCGACTACGATCATATTTTTTGCACATAAAGTTATGGTCCTTGGGATAGTCAAATTCTTGTTTTTTGACAGTTTCGTGGATCTTAAGACTTTTCTCGAAAACTAACCTCTCAAAAATGATATTGTGAGTCCAATCATATAACAGGTAGTGAGACGCTCCTCTGCATTGGCGGATATTGACAAAAAAGTTCTACTCAAGAAAACTATGTTTTTGACATTTTACACTTGTTTTCTAAACTTTTTGAATAATCTCGAAAATTACCCTGCGATACCTGAGATTTTGGGTTCAATTCTTCAAACGGGCTTTGGGATTTCCATTTGCTTATGCGACTAAGCCCAAATTTTTTTGACCACAAAAGTTTTGGCCCTAGGAAAAGTTAAAATGTTGATTTTATGAACGTTTTTTTTTGAAAGGTTTCGACTTTTCTCGAAAGCTACTCTCCCAAGTTTGATATTGTGGCTTCAGTGAGATAACGGTTAGCGGTAAGCTCTTCTGCCTTAGCGTACACTAACATAAAGTTTTACACAAGAATTTATAGCCATCTGAAAAGTCAAATTTTTGGTTTTTTCAATCGTTTTCTTCAGCTTTTTGAACATTGTCGAAAACTACTCTGCCATACCTGAGATTTTGGTTTCGGGAATATCATTTGCTTATGCAACACGAACAATTTTTGACTCCCAAAAGTTTCCCCTCTGAAAAGTAAAAATTTTGATTTTGGCCGTTTTTTTTTAATAGTTTTCGAATTTTCTCGAAAACTACCCTCCCAAATATGAGATTTTGTCGTATATTCGTCAAATTTTTCATTTGTTGACTTTTTTCGCTAACTATCCTGCCAAATCCGATATTATAAATTTAATCGAATGAAAGGTTATTGAAAGCCTACATTTCATTTGAGCTTTAACCAGTTTGTTTAAAAAATCAAGTTATGGCCTTCAAGTTAGTCGGACTTTTGAAAATCTGACAGTTTTTTTGGAAACTTATTGACTTTACGCGAAAAACTACCGAGCGAATTCTCAGGTTGTGTTCAATCGAGAAAACTGGCTTCAGAAATCTTCTCTGCTTGAGCTGCCTTAACCTGCTTTTTGCAGAAAATCGTTATGAATTTTGGGAAGTGTTTTGACCTTTTTTTCTTTTAGAAACTTTTTTGAGTTTTCACAAAATTAATAAATTCTGAGATGAAAATATAGCTGAAAGAACGGGTTGCGATAATTGTTCCGGCAGAAGCAGCGATTCCTCAATTTGTTGTAAGAGATGTTATCTCCTTCGGAAAAATGATTATCTCAAAATTTCTGACTCTTCTCACTTATTTTATTAGAGAAATTATTGTTTCAGATAAAATCACACTTTTTGTGCCGCAAACACGTACCTCGAGCTTTAGCTGGGCATGTATTTGTTTTTTATCGAGACTTGCGACAAATTTGGTACACCTAGATTTTTTGATTATCTAAATTTTTTTCGACGTATGTTTTTTTGTATTGTATCGCATTGCTTCGCCTCTGTATACAGAGTTGCAAAAAGTTGGAACACACAAAATTAATAAAAAGAGCAAATAGTAAATCTCCCCTCATTCCAGACTGTGTTATTTTGTTGAGCGAAGATCTTCTTCGACTCAAAGCCGTTTTTTAGTGTCTACAACTTTCACGTGGTACCACTATTGCAGCCAAAATTGGTCAGGCTGTGGTAGACCTGAAGCTAGAGGTCAAGTGAGAGCTCGTCCTCACACACTATCATTGCCATGGCATGAGATCGAATACTCGATCTAACGATTTCAAAGTGAACGCTTTACCACTGTGCTAAATGCTCCTTTTAAAAATTACAAAAAGCACCTCCATCCCCTTTAACAACGCCAGCTTTTGATATCTGCTTTTTCAACTATTTTTCCTTGAAAAAGTTTTGAAGTGAACTAAAAATATCTCTTTTTCTGAAATTTTTTAAACAGCAAAACGATGTAAGAAATCGAGGAACATGACCCAAAATGACGCTGACATTACCCTGAGCCGAATTGCTCGACGCTTTTATTTACTTTGTTAGTCAAACACGTGCAGTTCTTTGGCCAAAAACTTATAGTAGCAAAAGTTGGAACAGACTTGAAGTACGTAAAAAGACCAATTTGCCAGTTTTGAGCAATTTTTGCATGCAAATTCGGTTTTTTAGGTGACCTTGAGTCATCCTTTCTGTCTGAAAAATCAGCTATAGCATGCAAAATTCTCTGCAATAGGTCATTTGCTCTTTGTAATTAGTTTTGCCTGTTCACAATTTTTTGCAAGTTGTCGTAGAATTGAAAAATTGGAATAGACAAAACAAATTAAAGAGAGCAAATGACTTAGTTCGAAAGCAAGCAATAAATAGTGCCTTTTCTTAAAGTTTTTGAAAGTATCAGTTTTTCTGAGTGCAATAGTTAGGAAAAAATATTTATACCAGTACTACTGCGTGGAAAAGGCTCAAATTATCCTCCTTTGCAAAGGTTTTGCAAATGGTTTGAGTTAAGTGTGTTTTCATGAGTCATGAAGGTTAGAAAATGGCTATATTACGTCCTCTTTTGAACGAGATCAAAAATTTTGAAAATATGAAATTTGCAGCACTTTATTACCGTAAGATTACGAGCACAAACTGTATTTTGTAAAATGTAGCGGATTCTCTCCATCAAGGACGTTTTCTTTGGCCTTCCTTTGTTCTTTCGTTTTCTCTGATCGCTCCGACAAAATTTGAACATGTTCAAAGACTTGTCTCTGGGTTCCAGAGACGTACAAACTCTATATTGTGCGCTTATTCAGTGCACAGTTTGGCCTCGTAATGCAATTTTCCAAGTTTTATTTCTTCCACATAATTTTGTATCGCAAAAGGTGCGAAAATCCGCCTGGCCTGTGTTGTATTATTAATTAGGAACCCTTGAGAAGAGAACCTCCATTTTTGTGCCAATTCTAATTGGTTGATGAAGAGTGTGATCTATCGTCCATTATGCTATACTTTCCCATTAAAAAAACCAATAGACAAACTACCAAATCTAAAAATTGCGTGCGCGTGAGCATAAGAAAATTTTCCACATGGGACGAATTTTGTAATCAAAATAAATGGTCCAATACAGCTATTTTTAAACCTTCAACTTCGCGAAAAAAACGAAAGAGAATTATCTGTAAATTTTTCCAGATATTAATAGCTTCAGACAGTTGAAGAGTCAAAATTAGTTTGAAAAAAAACACCGGAGCACAAATATTTCGTGGATGCCATGCAAACATCCAATAGATCAAACATCCGAAAAGCAGCTTGAATTGTCCTAAGATCCGAAAATGTTCAAAAAAGAGCAAGAATCTAATTTTCACTGTTCTGTTTTTTGACCAAAAACAAATTATGAACTGCGGCAAATTCATCTGAAATAGCCAATTTATCATAAGAACGCCAGATTGAAGACGGCGTTTTAAATTTTAATGGCGTTTCTCCGCTACGAGAGTAGATAGAAAGTTTTCTCAAGGTTGTATTAAAAGGCTTTTTGAAGCGAAACGCAATGGTTTTTTCCAACGGAAATTGTGTGACTACTAACGATAGTGCGTGAGGACGAGCTCTCACTTGACCTCTACCTTCAGCTCTAGCACAGCTTGACCGATTTCGGCGGCAATAGTGGTACCACGTGAAAATTTTAGGCGCAAAAAAAACGACATTGAGTGGCTAAAAAAGAGCACCGCTCAACAAATTAACTGTCTGGAGTGTGGAGAAATATATAGAAACGGAATATGCTTAGAGAGGCTGCAAGGTCTTGCATAGATCCTCTGCGAAACGCATAAAAGCAAATTATTATTTTTATTAAAACGTCCACTGAGCTTTTTTCATATTTTTGAGATTATGACGTCTTATTATTACGCAACTATTGTGTAAGTTCGGATGTTTGCACTATGGGATTTTTGCACTATTAAATGTTTGCACTCGCACCATTTTCCATCAGTTTTCCATTTTCCATCAGTTTTTTCTAAATTGGATCAAGAACGCATAAGCAATATGAATAAATGTTCATTTGCGAATGCAACATAGCAGGCAATGAAATCACATGCAGAATATGAAGAGCATCTGAAAGAACAAAACTGTGGCTAAATCTGTTTTATACGAGGCAGCAAACGTATCCGAAAAACTAGCGAAATCCTTTGTTTCTTTTCGCCATGGCTGTTCTGAAATCTGATTCAGGAAATAGAATGTGGTTTCTTCAATCATCGGAGGGTAGGTGTGTCCACCGGAGTAAGTGCATAAAACTACTTTGGCTCCCGTTTGGCAGTTCGGATATTCGATGCACTGGAAGCTGTTTATCGTGTCGAAAGGGGTGGACCATCTGAAAGACAAATCGCCTGTTTTTGATTTGAGAAAAGTTCACATGTTGGTCAAAAAATTTGCAATATTCACAGTACTTCGTTTTAAAATACGATAAAAACCAACTCATGAAAAACGAAAACGTGAAGCTTATAAAATCAACAAAGCGGATGGAAAGTCATATCAATCTTTTCGGAAATTGATTTGTAACTAATTTTGTTTTACATTTCTCTGTTGAAACTGCAGCCTTGGACTCTTGCGTACTCTTCTACGACATCTGTAGCGGGTACGAAGGAGACGTTGAAATTGCTCAGAGACCCGTTAAACGGGATCCATTCGTCATTCAGTCCATGAATGTGCAGCAACGGCTTTCCGAAAATCTCCGGGTTGGAGAAGTTCAAGAAGCCTGTCATTGGAACCCCATAAATAGGAATGAATGCCTGGAAAGGATCCGGACGTTTCGTAATCAGTTCGTAAGTCATGAGGCCACCATTGCTCAGACCGGTCGCCACTATTCGTGATTGGTCGATGCATAAATGAGAGATGGCCCAATCCAGTATTTCTTCGACAAAAAGTGTGTCGTTATTACAGCTTGCAAACGCACAGGAGTGGCATATGTTGAGCTCCTAAAAGTAGCAATAACCTATAAAACATGTGCATAAATTTTTTTGAAAATACTTTAAAACTTGAATGAATTGTACCCCAGAACAAAAACAAAATCGCTCGAATCAGCGCGAAGCCATTATTGTTCCGACTGTCTTTTAAGGTCTAGTAGTTTTCGCTTTTGGTGAATGACAAGGAGATGGGTCTGATCTAGACAGGGAATTTAACAACGAGTAAAACAAACAAAAGGAAAACATTTTAGCGGGAAACGAATAATTGTTTCACATCTTGCTTCGCCCTCAAGCCGTAGGAAAAAAGACTAACTGCTGTAACAAATTGTGATTAAAAATTTGACTAATAGTTTTCTTCTAATTGCTTCTGCTTTATTTGCTTTACTGTCTCTCGTATTTTCTATTAAAATCATTGTCTGGATTAGACCCGTCTCCTTGTCATTCACCCGCTTTTTAAAAAAAATTGATGAAATTTTCAAAGAAAAAATTGAAAAACTGTTTCGAAAATCGTGTTGCGGATAGGCGTGTGGGGACGTTATGTAAAATACAAAGTGATATTTTTCACATACAGCCAAATATTGAATCTATTAAGATGCACGCCTTAATTTAATCAATAACGATTTCTAACCCGGAATAATTCTCCGCTTACGCGTTAATCTCATGGAAGAAATCGCGCGGTAATTGTACCAAATTGGCAAATTTTAAACCCCCAAAACTTAACGAGACATGATCACAGGTGAAATATCTGTTTAACTTTGGGGCAAAAGTTATTGAATGAAATTTAAAATATCCGTCCAAAATAGCAACTTATAAAGTCGAAGTTTGTCGGGAGAAAAAAAAACACCCGCGCACAAACATTGCGTCATTTTCTTCGAACAATTTTTGAAAAACGTAGTTGATCAGTACGTTATATCTAACAGCAAACAACCGCGTATTGTGTGTTTGGTTGTTTCCATGGTAACGAATAAACGTCAATTTTTTTAAATGTTTTCATACAAAATAGCTTTTGGATATCACAAAAAATAGCGGAGAATATTGGATAAAAATAGCGGAGAATATTACATTTATAAAAAAGCGGAGAATAAAATAGGTATTGGATATCAGAAAAATATCAGAGTACTGGATTTTAAAAAGTGCATTAGAAGCAGTAGCTGATTTGGGGGCCTGGGGGCGGCTGGACGCCTCCCACCCCCTCAGGGATTTGACCCCCTGCTGACCCAAAGGTTGCCTTTGTACTATTTTCAGATTTGCATTTGCTGACTGACCCTAAAAATTTTCTACAGGCGCCTTTGGCACCAATACATACTAATATTTTTGAGAGTAGAACAGGCACGCATAAAAACGCCTAAAAAAGTGCCTAAAAACGCCTTTTTTGGCCAGTTTTTTATAAAATTTCCTGCGGCGTCGATATACGAAATAGTGATTTGGTCGATATACGAAATAGTGATATGGGAGATGTCAGAAAATAAATTTGGTAAACCTAAAAAAGGTCGACAAAATATTCAATTTTTTAAAATCCCCCCTTCGAAAATCCTAGATCCGCCCCTGATTAGAAGTGCTTTGAAAAGACATTTTTTTGAAAACTCTCACTTTGCAACTCTTGAACCCGCACTGTGAAAATCCAGAAGCGGCTATGCATTTGGGGTCATCAGAATCAGAAGAACCCACTGCATTCCAGCCTTGTAGGTCTGACAATTCCACTCCCTCGTCTGTGACGAAGTCGGAGAGACCCTCGGGGTAGATCATTATCATATCTTCTTGACGACCTTGTAACAAATTTTATTGGTTATATTATTAAGACTAGTAGGGTATGCTTTGCCAGTATGAATAGTCTTTTTAAATCGCCTAGAGTATTACCTGGTGTTTCGACCGAACCCGTGTTTTTGAGTTTTTTCTAACGGTTTTAATTTTTTCTGGTAAAACTTAGAAATTATGTGAGTTATCGAAAAAGAAAGAAATATATTGTTCAACTAGTTTTTGAAAAATCGTTTTAATAGTTCTGTTATTTTTCACTTGCATTTCTGGTTCAATTTGGTAGGACATCATGTGAACACGCACTGAAGTTGCAAGGATAATAATCGATCATATTGGATTTTCATTGCCAGTCTTTATAAAATAACAAAAATAATCAATTAAATTCGATTAAAAATGGATAATATGATACAATTTTTTAAGCAATAAATTCCCAATATAATCGATTAATTTCAACTTACTTTCAAAAATTTTTATCAAAAGAAAAATAATCAATTTTAATCGATTATAATGGATTTTTATCCATTTATTGAAATCTTTCGGTGTTTTTTTTCATAATAATGTTAAACTTAAGTTAGTTATTTTGTTCTCCCGTTAAATTTCAACTTTTTCCTAATTTCAATCGCGCTTATGAAAATTTATAAAAATTCACGCATTTTGTTATTATTTTAATTGAGTTATACTCGCCAAACACGCGTTTAAACCCAAACCACCCCCTCCCCACGCGTTTAACACACCCCACTAAACACTAAACATCCGCACCTGGATTGATAATTAAGTAGTATGGGTAAACGTTGGGGGATAAACGTTTACCTGCACTAAATAGACATAGTTACCTGTCACGATGGGGGTGATAGTGTTCAGTTGGGGCGTGGTAAACGCGTGGTTAGGGGGGTAATTTCGTTTAAATGCGGGGAAGGAGGGTGAAATATGGCGGACGGGGGGGGGGGGTGGGCTTTAGGGGGGCATGTGGGGATGGGGACGTGGGATGGGCTTAAAAAAATTTCGAAAATTTAGTGAAATTTTTTCAGATCGGCCAAGTTGGTTTTCCGAGCACTCCCAGAACACTATTAAGAACGTATTTCGACCAAATTTTTAGCGATGCAGACAATTGAAAAAAAAACTGGTCAAAAATGCCGGTTTGCGCACTTCTTGGAAAATTACTACATATTGGCCTCTTCAAAAATACTACATATTGGCCGCCCCTGGATGAACGTGCTCGTTCAAAATTTGCAGAAAGTTTCAAAAAGTAGTGTCCTAAGTTAGAAAATTTAATCAATTTTCATGGACTTTATGTTTAAAAAATAATCCATTTTATTGAAAACAAAAATGGACTATAATCGATTATAATGGGTTTTTGTTTTTCGAAAAAACAATCAATTAAAATGGATTAAAAACCCATTAGGTTGTCTGAATTTGCCATAATAATCGATTATACAGACAACATTTAGTCAATAAAAAACCATTATAATCAATTTTTATCCTTGAAACTTCGGTGCCGGAAGCGTTTTTCATTTAAATATAGGATGTTACCGAGCGTAAGTTTTTAACACTCAGTTTCTTTAAAAGTATTGAAGGTATACACTCGAAACTTTGCGTGACCAAAGAAAAGTGACAGACTGTCATAAAATTTACTTTTATGCTCTGGCAAGCGCAACCGTGATTAGGAATACGTCAGGTTTTGGGAAAGTTTTGCATATTCAGCTTAAAAGTGTTGAAATAGTTTTCCTACCGAGGTTCGAATTCAGTGTCTCCGGTTTTATTCAATTACTGGTAGACAAGCACAAAAACACATACTCAAATTGAGCCGAGTGTTTGCAAAATTTGGCTGAAAAATAAACACAAATTGAGCCGAGTTTTTTATATTTCGGCCAAATTTCCGAAGGAAGGTTTCATTTTTGTGCTTGTTTACCAGTTATTGAATAAATATATATACTGAATTAGATCCATTTAAATCAAAGTCAGTTTCTTTCTTGGATTGCAAAAATTTTCACAAATTTCCCTATTTTTTTTTATCACGTCTGTCGGAACGCTAAAAAAGGTTCTGTAAAATTTCGTCATGCTCTGCTCAAGTTTGTATTATCAATAGTATTTACCTTCAAAAAGCCACGTTTAAGCCTTCAATGTTTTCAGTGAAATTGATTTAAAAAAAAGTATTTGCACAGAGACACACTGACGGCCGTGATGATTTTATAAAATTGTTTTTTTTTTCTTGGGAAAATATTCTTAAAATTTGTTCACGATCAAGTTTGTTTGCGTGGTTTGAAGTTTTTGTTTTAATTGTAGTTCATTTGCTTTTTTAAAAGGATGGCAAACTCCACTATTGAACTGCAAAAATGTACCAGTCGCGAAAAAAGTGTATGACTTTTAGTTTCAAAAAAGAGCTTCGATTTCTGAGATGTCATTAAAACAAAAAGAATTACTCATTAAAAAATTTTTAAGATAATAGATCATAATAGGAAAAAATTAATGAAAACAAAATTAGTCAATTACTTCTTTAAGTTCAAAGAGATTTATGATGACACATATTTTCTTGGGAAGTTGAAAAATGTTCTTAAGTTTTTAATCATTTTTTTTTGTTTTCTTGAGCTTTCCAACTGTCTGTTGGTTTTGTTCAAAACAATTGATTCTGATGTAGTGTGAGCTTGATATGCTTTTCGTGAAACGTTCACATAAATTATTCCATCAGTGGTTCAGATATCAAATAAAATCTAAGTACAAGTTTTTTGTTCAATCTACTCGGTGACTACCGATACTGTGTACCAGCACCTAGCTGGTCGTACTCTGGACGAAGATATAATCACGGATAGAATTCCGCGGAAAATTTCTAGTTCTTAAACATCAATCAGTCAGTTCTGGTTTTTTGCATCAGCATCATTGGGACTATCTGTTATTTGCAAAAACTGTTAGGGTTGTCATTTCAGTAAACTTTACGTATTATACGGAATCTTCTTTTAATAATAACTGGAGTCGATTATGGAAATTCAAATGGTTTACGACTGAAGCGCGCATAAATTTTGTAGTCATTAACAACTAAACATAATGACCAAATAACCACTATTTTAGAAAAAATTTGCAAAACTACGTGGCACGATATTTTTTATCCGAAGATTTCGTCATTCGGATTTTTTGTTATTCTCTTATTCGGCTTAATTTAACTCAAAGTAACTGTCCTAACTTAGGTTTTAGTATAAATTTTGGATCATGTTTTCATCTAATCGGATAATGTTTTAATCTGTGAAGATTAAAATTTAAATGTTTTTCACCAACAAGTGGATATCCAATGCAAAACTAGGGGGTAGTTTTAATTGTCTATTGTGATAAATTATTTCAAAAGTTTTCGTGGCTTATTTTTGCTTGGTTTGAAGTGTTTTTTGAAAAAATATGGTTTTCTATTCCAAAACTTGTTTTTTGTCATTTTATAACTAGATCATAAGTTTTCTTACAATTTTTTGCAGTGCCAACTTCAACAATTTTTGCGTAAAGGTGAAGTTTCATTTTTTTGTGGAGACAAAGAATTTTCAGCGGCGAAATTTTTAATTATAAGATATAATCTATTCGGATTTTTATGCTAATGTTTCAGCCGATAATGCATCGGTTTAACTACTCAAATTTGTGTCCTTTGGAGGGCGATATTTTTCTTATGTGTGTTTGTGCTCTGAGATGAACCTAAAGTTTTTTTACTTTCAAATTGTTTTAACGCCTAAATGTTTGATGATTAAAATTTGGCACAATAGTTGACTTCTCAAGTATTATTGGATTCATAGTTTTGCTGCAATACTAATTAAAACTTGCAAAAGTGTGTTAACATTTTTGGTTCAAAATGAACTTCATGTGAGACAAACTTTCGTGAAATTCAGAAGCTTTTTTGGAAATTACTTAGCTAATTTAATAGATTTTGTCTCCTTTTTTTGTCGGTGGGCTCGCCATGATATGTTTGTGTTGTACCTCAAGTAAGGCGAAGCCCCACTTCTCTTCTGTGTTGAATTTTGTTAGCAGTAGAACACCAAAGTGCTAACTGCTATCGGAAATTAGATAAAATACCGGATAAAATGAAAATATTTGGGGATTTTTGTACCTATTTAAGCTGTTTTTGTACAGTTTAAATGATTTGTCGTTTTCTGATTTGTTGTACGAACTCAAATGTTTAGCATCTCATTTTTTCCCGCAAAGTTTTAGCATGATATATCAATGCTCAAACCTCATTAAATATCGTATTATAGCTATAATACGATATTTAATGACGTTTGAGCATTTGATATATCATGCTAAAACTTTGCGGGAAAAAATGAGATTCTAGTTTCAAAAAATTAAAATTATGTATGGAAATCCTAAAACGATATGTCAAAGAAATCTCTTCATATCAAGTAAAAATGATCTGAATTTTTTTCTTTTTTTAACTAATTCAGCGGGGAATGGACATAACACGATAAATTTATATCCTCTTCTGCTGCGTTGACCTCACACGCCAAAAACGCCAGTCATTCAATTCCGAACAATTTGCCTCCGAAAAAATGCCAGCCATTGAACTCTCAATGTAAACAATATCAATTTTGCACTTGAAATACATTTTTAAAAATTATTTGTAAAAATATTACTGTGAAACTAAAAATCTGCTATTTGATTGGTTATGAGAAAAAGCTAGTCATTGGGTTTTCATGCTGTTTTCTAAATGCATACGCTGTATGAAAAAGTTTATGGGAGTTGAGGGACTAGCGTAATTGAATTGTTAGTTCTACTTTTGTTGTGATTGTTTTTATTTCATTAACCTACTTATTTAACTGGTCTTATATGACCTTGTCTATCGCCAGCGACCTCCTTCGAAGTGAGCAGGTTTCAGTGTTATTTTGCAGTAGATAGAGGAAACTCATGCATAGAATGTGGAGGAAATTTACAAACAGATATCTAGCGGTCTGTCTGGCGAAGGACGCGATTTGTGCATTTTGTAATTTTAAAGGTCATTTCACAAACAAGTGTAAATCTAGAAGAAAAACGTAAATAATGCAAATAATCC